GGATGACGCACCGCCTGTCTCTTCACTGACGTGATCGTCTTCTAACATCTCGTCGGCAGTCACATCAGGATCCCTTATCACCTCCAGAATGTCGTCGTTGGTGGTCTCGGAGAAGCCTGCAGCTGTAACACTCTGCGCAGCTTCTCTGGCAAGGTCCACTGCTACTGCAACAGTCTGAACCTCACCAGTCACAGATTGACTCTGCCTCCCACCTGGGATACCTTGCAACACGTCTCCATGCGTGATGAACCGTTGCTACAGACAGCTGATCCCATGCCTCCACCAAGAAGTCCACAGCTTTCTTGACGTTGAATTTCCTCCAAAAGTGTTTCACAAGAACTTCTTGCTCTGCCAACTATTGTTCCTCGTCCTCGTCGCTCTTGCTATCGGTGTCACCCAGGTTACGCAACTCATCCTTGGCATTGGTATAGTCGTTCAGGAGCTTAAACTTCTTTGCAGAGAATGAAGCTTTCACATTGCAGGTTAATTCTTGGTCCATGGGCTGGATTAATGACGTAGTGTTAGGAGGAAGGAAGACCACTTTTACATTGGGGTGACGATCCAACTGTAGGGGCGTGTGTCCTGGTGCGTTGTCCAGCAGCAAAAAATTCTTGAATGGAACATTCTGTTGCTCACAGAATTTCTTCACGTCAGGAACGAAACGGTCATCAAACCAGGAGAGGGACAGAGTAGAGAACATCCACGCCTTATGTGCGGTCAGCCAATGGACATTTAGCTTGGTCATGACCATGTTCTTGTAGGCGTGTGGCTTGCGGGCTGTGTAGATCACCGATAACTTGAGTTTACAGGAACCGGAGGCATTGGTGGTAAAGAGGACGGTGATGTGCTCCTTCTGCAACTTCTGGCCCCTACACTTGCTGGCCAGACTTTTCCAAAAGAGACCGGATTCGTCCATGTTGAACACCTGGTCGTCGGTGTACTGTCTTTCCTCCATAATCTCACGTAAGAACGGAGGAAAATCCCTAGCCGCAACACGGTCAGCACTCGCTTCTTCACCACAAATGTTAATGTTGGTGATCTTGTTCCTCTTCTTAAGCCTGTGCAACCACCCAGAGGAAGCGTTGAAGGGTTTGGGCTCTGCAATTCCCATCTTACATGACACTGCTGCATACAGTTCACGTGTGTACTCCTGAACTGAGCGCGTGTCGACAGCCATATTCCGTCTTGCCTGACGAATCAAGTAGCTCACAAGTAACTTCTCCGTCTTGAGAAGCACCTTGTTGTGGCAATACTTGATCATTGAAGCACTTGTAGACTTTGTGATGTTCCTGTGTTCTTTTATCTTGGCTGCATCCTTCTTGATCGTCCGGATCGTAGATTCATTCACACCATGCTGGCGGGCCAAATCAACCTGTCTTGTTCCTTTCTCCAACTCTTGGATGATCTTGTACTTCACCTCGTAGCTTAAGGCACGTCGTATCTTCTTTGGCTTAGGGCGGCTGGGTCCAGGTAATGCAAAGTTTTTCTGTGGTGGTGGTGGTCCGGTGGCAGCCATTCTTATGGAACAATGGATATCGATATACACGGTGTAGCCAGGAGGGGTGTAACTGACGCAGGTAGGTCAACGGGCTTCATCGCTCCCATGGCAGGGCACGTCATATTACATTAAACCAATCACAGCTAGCGAGGAGGGAGGTAAGGATGCTTGGCCCAATCACAGTCCGATACGCCATATGACGTCACCAATAACGCAACAAAGACATAAACTGCGCAACCTACTCGCGCCGCTTACCCAACATGGCAGGAGGTTTGAATCCAAAAATGGCGCTGCGCGAGATGACCGCCAGCCGCTCTCTGCGTATATCAGTAGATGCAACGCGTAAAGTGAGCATTCCTGTTCTGGCGGGGTACCGCGTAAATGTAGAAACGCGTAAAAAATAAACGCGTAAAGAGAGAGAGAGAGAGAGAGAGAGTGTGTGTGTGTGTGTATTAAAAACAAAAAATTTTTCAGTACACAGCACATACGTTGGGACTCGAAAATACGTAATTTGAAAAGAATTTGGTACGACTGAGGTGGTAGTATTGCTTTACTCACCATAAGCTGGCTGCATCTATCTGAACCCTGGGCCACATTAAATAGAATTTCTCAATCTTTTCTCAGACTACACAAAGACATGGTTCGGGCCGCAGGATGCCCATGCCTGACCTAGGTGCATCTTCTTACACTTAGTCACATTGAAGTTTAGCAGCCATTTCTTTGACCACTCTTGAAGCTGACAGAGATCTTTCTGTAGCTCTTCATAGTCTGTTTGGTTTTTAATTTCCATGAATAACTTGGCATCGTTCACCAACACTCTATCGTACTAAAAGTACCCATCCACAGTTGGGTGGACTGGGGCTACCCTGAATGAGGAACCAACGTGTCCTTAAGGAGTAGAGAGCAGCACTGTATCCTCTCAGCCACTACACCCTAATTTATCTGTTCATATGTTCAACACTTTCATTGGGAGAAGTTCAGGTTATAAAGCCATATTGTTTTCCCTTTTATGGATACCAAAATCTTCTAAGTAATACATTAATAAACCAATGAGTGAAAGAAACACAGCATTGTATTCATGAGGACAGGAAACAATGACAATACTTTTGAACATATATTACATAATCAATGTACAAACTGTGATTAAAATGGATAAATAAAAGCTGAACATTCACAGTAAGCTCTCCAATTATAGAAATGCTCTCCTATGGTAGGGATGTGGTCAAGATATTGGTCTTATTATTGTGGTAGTCACTGCTAACCTGCGCCACTTGACATGCATGACTAGAGGTTGTTTTAAATGAGCACTTCCTCTGACAAACTATTTCTATTTGCTCTCTAATAACTGTCACATTCCAATCTGAGGTACACTCGCACCAAAAAGTATCGGTGCAGGGTGAGATCGACGACTTCCGAATTGATACGTATACACTGTGATATGTCGGGAAGGTTGGTAAGTGTATCCTCATAACCCCCCCCCCTCCACTAGGAGTTGCCATATGGCTGACAATCAGTGTGTTTGTTTCCTCTTTTCGGATTGTTGCTTTGTGTCGACTGAATGATAAGCGAGGGTTTGGTCTCGGTGAACGTGGGTATAAAACAGAGGCAATATGAAGCAGTAGAGATCTACACATGTCAGACGACATGGAAACCTCAGAGGGAACACAAGGAGCTATTATTGCCCTTCATAACAAAGGGTTCGGCGACCCAGATATTAGCCGGCGGGTTGGTGTCCACAGGAACACCACTGCACGATGGATTTGGCGATACCTCGAAACTGGTGCTACAGACGACAGGTCTCGGAGTGGCGGTCCACGCTGCACCACAACTCAGGGCTGCCAACATACGGCTGGAACAACTCGCCTTTCCCAATACCTATCGTCACTGGTCTCAAATTGTTCACACTACAGTATGCACCGATACTTTTTGTTGCGAGTGTACAGTATAATGAAAATAATTTTTCTACATTTAATTTTCACAGAAATGAGCTGCAAACTAATTGAAGGTACTTTAGTACCAAGGCAGCTAAATATTTGTGCATTCATAATAATTACAACACAAGTGGACAATTCCATAGTACGGTACTGTATATTTATATTACATTATAAACTTGGATTGGTTAAAACACAATCCTATATTTAGATTTTTTAAATAAATGCCATAATATGAATTTCTTTCAACTTAGAGACTTTTATAAATGTGACAAATGTCTCCCTAATACAGTATATATAACAATCTTATTGTGGCATTTACTTAAACTTGATACATTTGCTGAGTAGTGATCATAACTGTGAATAGTGGATAACTCTGGTGGCTTTCTGTAAATAATACTGATACTAAATTATAATAATCCAATAGAACAACCAATTAGCAAAATCCATTTTTTTTCAACTCACGATGTTTGCCTAACTGTAAACACTGATTCCTTACTAACTATTCACAGCAGTATTGTTAAGTACTGCTGGCATAATAAAATAACATTTTTTAAATCCTGTTCAGTGTTGAGGCCACCTTTAGTGCTTAGCTTGACTCCTGGGACAAGAGACAAGAGCTAATAAGTCACCAGCCACCTTGATTTTATATATATATATATATATATATATATATATATATATATATATATATATATATATATATATATATATATATATATATATATATATATATATATATATATATATATATATATATATATAAACTTACAATAAATAATAGTCACAATATGGGAGATAAAATAATTCTTACTGAACTGTAATTACATCACATTAACTCGCTCAGAATTTTCATACACATTTCACATAGGAAATTTATATTTGTTTTGTTTATGACGACCAAGAGAGTCAATGTGAAGCACTATCAGAGATAGAGTTTATTTGGTGTTGTTTTCCCCTAAGTCTCACAACATATACAACTCCCTACATCAAATTTCAGAGCTACTGTAATGATAACTGGTTCTTATGGGACTATTCACAGTTTCAACAAAAATCTACACACGTCACCTAAAGGCAAACTCCCAGAAGTTATAGAGACGGTATGGAGTTGGTGTCATGCTGCCCTGTCTACTGAGGTCATGTATCATTGGTTGATCAGCAGATATACAAGAACATTGACAGAATTATTCACACTCACCCCAGGCTTGATACATGTGGTATACTTCAGTTTTATTGGTTTGATTTATAGACAAATTTAGGCAACATTTACTATCATTAAATGACTATATAATGCTGTACATATATGCAAGCACAAATTGTAATTACACCCTAGTATCAGACAACTCAAAATCATTGATCAATTAGACAATCTGCCCAAAATATACAGTAATCCCATTTTGAACAGCAATTTCCTATGAATACTTAAAAATTTATTAGAGTTAATGGCAGTAAACAATGAAATTTCTGCTTAAATATTACAGGACATTGTCTAATAATGTGACAATGTAAAGATACCCTCAACTGCAAATTTGACATTGAATTGTTTATAAAGAATAAATGAAAGGCACAGGTAATGTGGTGCAACTTCTTTGTCTTATTTTACTTTCCACATTTTACAATAAAAAAAGAATGCAAATATACAACCCCTTGACTGTGAGGACCTGGCTCACCATAGTGTTGATTATCCCTCAACAGTAATTTTGATAATTTCTGGAGGTTAAAATATAAGCCATAAGAAATATGAACTCATTTCTTATCCCATATAATCAATGTTTTGGTCAACCAGGTCCTGGAGGAAGGTTTGGTGTGCAGGTAAAGTGTGAAGAGAAGAAGATGGCAGACAGCAAAGATATGGTATAAATGACACAGTAACAAGCTGGTCTTAGCTAAGAGAGGAAACCTGTGAAGTATTGTTGCTTCTCATATTGAAAATTGTTGTTGGAAGATTAAAATTGTAAGTGGGAGGAATGGAAAGGTTCTTTGGAATGCAAAACTGATCCAATCCCACTCGACTCATATCCTCTTTAAGAGCTAGAACTGTATCCTTAATATTTCTTTGGAACGGTATGTGGCGCAGTACACAAGTCTGATGTGATGGATTATAAAAAATGAAGCACTTTTCTTAAATGGTATAATCCTAATCTTGAAAATGAAAGGACGAGCACAGTCATACTTCCTTACCTCACTGCATAATAAAAAGAGACCAAGGATTATGAAAAGACAAAAGCAATCACATAAAAGGAATGATTTACAGTTCTTGATGAATTCACAATAACATACAGATAAGATCCTAACTTACACGCTTTTACGATAGCTTTTTCAGGAAAGTAAATCAGGATCTGTCTGTACTGTAAACATAACAATTTACTCAAGAGAATGAAAACAGTACAAAGTAGGCATTGACGAAACAAAAGACCTCTTAAATTTGTAGCTTCCGATAGATTCATCCTTCTACATCTAAATAGCCACATCATGCAGATCCATTTTAACCTATTTGTCACTGGGATATCCAAGGCTTGTAACATACACCAGTAACAAGCACTAAACTGACAGAAATAGTAAAAAATATCGACCAACGTCAGACCTGTACAGTACGTTGAGACACTCTTATCACTATGAGTATATCAAAAAGTAACCAAAATCTTACTATACATTCATCTTCATGCTAACCTAATGTCTGGTGGTTGTCTTACTGTTATGGAGACTTACTTATACGCTGTCAGTGGAAATAATCTCACCAAATCTTAATAGTAACATCTTGAATGCAGCTGTGAATATATAACAACCCAAACAAAACAGAATTTGAAAATACGCAAAAGAAAAAAAAGAGAGATAGAACGAGTAAAAGATTTCCATCACGTGAAGTTTACAAGGCCAATCCATCTTTAATACATCTATGGTAATGTTCCTTCAGTGGAGTCAAATATGTTGCATTTTAGAACAGGAATTATTTCAAAATTATCTATTCCATCTGTACATTGGGTTAAGTGTTACATCTCTATCCATCATCAATATTGACTACCTATTTCTCAGTTATATTTTCATTATTCTTTGTCAAATGATTAACATTGTTGAATCTATTTGTGTTTCAGGTTGACATCTTAGGTATGTGATATTGAGAAACTGGGCATGTTAGCTACATAATCACTATGAGATGCAGCAACACGGGGTAGGTTTATTCTCTGCTTCTGCTGGACTGTCTGCTTGTTGCTTGCTGGCAGAGATCAGACGGGTCAGGTCGTAAAAAGCCTGAAAATATAAAATTCACATGTAATATACAGTACAGTATACATAAAACACATACATACAAAAATTACATGACTTTATAAAGTTTTGTGGGAAACACATTCATAAGACCATAACAAAGAAATGACAAAATTACTATTGAAAAGAAAAAGTTTGTTAAAATACCAATTCAAGAAAATTGTGGTTTACATTATAAAGACTCTACCAGTCATTAATTTTCTCATTTAATAATCAGTGATTGTGACATTACATTAAACATGTGAGGAAAAGTGGGACACAGGTGAAGAGAGAAAGCAGCACACTGGCAGGAGACATCACCTGAACCATGCATGGCAGGACAATAGACATAAGGGAAACACTTCATTATCTGTCACATGCTTCTGTACTTCATCATGACAAAACATTACACTAGCAATAAAATTAAAGTAAAAATGCTTAATATTTTTTTCCCAAATGAATTAAGTCTTAGAGTTCATGCAAGAACCTCCACATAACATAACATAACAGAAGCATCTAACATCATGTACAGTATATATAACTTTTTGTTTGCAGATCATAGACTGCCGAGATAAGAAGTTCAAAGGATAACTTCAATGTAACTTAAACATAAAATAAGATGTAAGCAACAGACCACCGAGGCCTGGCCCAAGATGCTGTGTAAACGTGTAACTTGACAGCTCAAACAGGTGGGTCTGATCCCTGAGAGCCAATGGAGACAGTATGTTGGTACTATGTGATGACTCTTAATATATCAAGACTTGGAACTGTTAGTATTTTCTGCTGCCCAACTCACTTATGAACACTGTAATGAGTGTTGACCTGGCCGTGTCTTTTCAATCAATTTACTTAACATATTGTCACAAATCTAGACTCATAATAACTAATTTCTCTTATCATTTCTAATTTCTTTGCTTTTGTTTTTCTTCACCTCAAAAGTTTTCCTTACATTCCTATTTCAAATCATAAACACAGGAGAACTTGTACCTATAAGTAACTACCTTAGATACTGTATGTGACACCAACACCAAGCGGAAGACCACCTTGTTAAGTGTCTTGGGTATTGCTCTCCTCTTTTCCTCACAGGTTCATGTCAGAGTTGTTCAAGAGGATTACTGTAAATTTCGTCTACCTGTGTCAACTGATGCAGGTTATGGCAGAAAGATACATGTCAATAGATGTACTGTTATGAAGATTTTGATATGTTATGATAAAAATGATCAATTTATTGGACAAAAATAAATGATTGGATAGTCACAAAGTTATTCAGGCAACATGTCATACTTTGATAACAAAACTCAATGTACTTCAGTTACTGTACCAAAAAAAAAAATCAATGCAGCAATTTTAAATGAAGATCTAGAGGTGTAAAAGATAATGTGCTTTAAAAGAGGAGAAATTTAGTCTCTGATTACAGTGTTTGGCTGTTCACAAGACCAACCAGTTACTGTACCACCTCCAAGACTCTTCAGACTCATTCCCCACCATAAAATAAAAGCTTAAGTGCCAATGTGTTGCAAAGCTCAATAAAATCCCACACCAACCCTCACTGCCACAGTAATAAGCTATCCCACTACTGCAGTGGTTCCCAACCTTTTTGGCTGTGACCCTAAATTTCCCAACAGTACGGTGTCGTGACCCTCAGGCATATAATATATTATATAGCTTGAATGTTAATAAAAAAATTTTTTTTTACTTTATGATAAGTACTATATTTTTAAAATCGTCTGAGGACCCCTTGCAACCCTACAGAGAACACCCCCCGACCCTGATTTGGGTCACGACCTGAAGTTGGGAACCACTGCTCTACTGCATCTTGTCAGCATATGAACCTCACCCCAGTCTTCAAGGTTCCCAGACTAATGCAGTGAGTGCAAGAGAGAGAGCGAGAGACAGAGAGACCCATTGGGGATAATGACCGTCTCAAAATGGAGAAAATGGCTTTTTCCTCAATGCAAATTTTCTTCCTATGGGGCCCAATCACAAAATGATATGACTGGTTGGGGCCTGAATATTCTCCAAGACAATGTGTAGTTTCTATCAGTAAACCCCCAATAACATATAATCATCAATCACACAATTATACTGTATTTGACAATATTTTAGGAATAGTTAACATCTATGTGCATGACGTTTATCTCTAGTTTTACACTATATTTTAATTTAGTTTCTTAAGCAAATACGGTCTCACATGATGTAACTGTTACCATGTCACAAATATTCCATCTAAACAATTCATCTATCAGAAATTTCATATTGTTGGCCTTGATCTTGATGTATAACACATAGATGGTGTGAGAAGTTTGATGCTGAAGGGAAATGATTACAGGTGGGATTAATTAATTTGGTGGGAGTAGGTGGCAGATGGTGGGTGGGTGTTGGTAGCTGAAGTTGATGGTGGTAGGTGGTTGTGGTGGTGGTGGAATAGTGGGATGGTAGTGGCAGGTGGGTGTTGGTGGGAGGTGGTTGGGGGTGTGCGGGTTCTGTCTGTAACCATGTCATAAGGTATCACACAAGACCCATCACCAGGTTCCTCTCTCTCCTTCCCTCCCTCCCATATAAACTTTGGTCTTGTGCTGTTGTCAGTTTCCTTTTTCAGAACTGTCGTGTTCATGATGCAGGAACACTAAAATGGATATGATAAGTCGCTGAAATGACAACAGAACTTATATATCCAGTACCTAACAATACTGAAAGAAATGATGAGAGGTAAGATAATTTTTCTTTCCATTCTTGCAAACATTTTCCCACTAAAGTGTAAGATGGCTGGAACCTAAGAGAGATACAGAGTCTATTCTCTTACTGCTATAACAAATGATCTCTGCTCTGGTGTTCCCCATATATAATATAAATAAAAACACCTGATTATTAAATACCCTAATGCTGCCTGATGGTTCTTGAATGCACGCATGGACGCAGGAAGTCTCAATGGTAAAGCACAAAACATAAGCAGCTTTTCTCTGCTCAGTATAAAACATTAATTTAATTCCTGATAAAATTAGAGTAAAAATAAACTTTTAGGTCTTTTAAAACATTGCAGATGGGTTGGAAGATTGACTAAGTAACTTTAGATAGACCCTCAAGGAAATATTAAGTAGCTTAGGGGTTACAGCTAAAAAAAAAAGAAGATAAAGACTCAATTAGCTTTCTCGGCAGCCATAGAGTGATGGAAAAGAATGTAAGTGGGTGAACTTGTTAATGGTGGAAAAAATGGGTGAAACAGCATTTTGCCATGGATAGAGGCCTATAAGGTAACCCAATATCTTTCAAAAGTTAAGGAAGAGGGGATGAGTCCCTCCCTGGTCACCCCACTTCACAGAAGAAAAAGGTTTGCCAAGTGAAAACAATGAAACATGCAACACACATACACACACACACACACACACACACACACACACACACACACACACACACACACACACACACACACACACACACCAAAGGAAGACAACAGAGGTGAGGCATGTTCTGAATTTTTGTCCTTTTTTCCAGTCGTGAAAATGGCGAAAAAAAATCTGTATAAACCAAGATATACCCTAAAGTCACTAAACCACTAAACCAAACTGGTCAACATGATCACAAAGTTCACTTGATCCTAAAAGCTATGAAAGGTGATTTAACGTCACAATACTAAGTTAAAATATGAAAATTAAAGGAGGACAAATATTAAAGTCTCTCCCCTTAATGAAATGATTAATTAGAGACCAAATACCTCCTTGGTCCAGAGTTTAGAGCACAGGGATGTAACATGAAGGTGGTGAGGCCAGAGCAACTATGAGAACAGTTACTTGAGGTACAAGACATTGATCTCATAAAGAACTAAACCAACAGAGATGGCACGGCCTGTGAGCTTCTCCTCTCTCATAACACATGACAATGAGTACAAGTGACTCATTACAGTCATGATACAGCCATAAGAACCTAAATAATATCATCTTATCATTGTCTCTGCCATGTTGATGTACTCATGCTTATACAAACTGTACAGTTAAGAGTCAATAAGATGGACTGGGGGACAATGTGGTAGAGTGCAGGTGTTGGTCACAGGTAGTGGCAGGGTAAGAGGGGAGCATGTGGTGTAAACTATTTAACTAGTGAGTGTTGCGTGCAAGACATATCTGAAGTGAGGTCTGATCCAGGCTGACTTGGCAGTGATTGTTCTCCATATGAAGATATAAAAGGCTGACTAACTGCCAATTTTATATATATATATATATATATATATATATATATATATATATATATATATATATATATATATATATATATATATATATATATATATATATATATATATATATATATATATATATATATATATATATATATATATATATATACATACACATAGATACATACATACATACATACATACATATATATATATATATATACATATATATATATATATATATATATATATATATATATATATATATATATATATATATATATATATATATATATATATATATATACACACACACACACACACAGTAAAGCCTCGGAAACAACGATTCATCCAACAACTTTTCGTATTTGAAACCCTAGATAATTTAGGACCCCATTCAGTTTACATCCTTATTTCATTCGTATTTACGACCAAAATATAATAAAAATAAAATAAAATTACATTTTCATATAAATAATAACTAAATCCCGATTTGTATTATAAAAAAAAAATTACTGTAAAAAAAAAGAAGAGCGCCTTGCGCGAAGCTGCCTGGCTAACGAGTGGTAAACAACAGTCGGAGCTTGGCGGGCCTTTTGTTTTCACGCATCTGGAACAGGAACAGAAGAAAAACTTTCTCAGGTTTCTCAGCATTTTTGCATCCCTATTCAACATGAGCAAGAGAGCAAGTGATGGTAGTGTTGTTTCAAAAGCCAAAAGAAAGTGTCTAAGCTTAGCCGAGAAACTAGATGAGTTAAAACAATATGATAAGGGTGAGAGGTCTGTGGATATTATATGGAGCAAGCAATGAACACATTTTCTGAAGTGGATCCATTAACAGAACAAAGCATTAAAATTTAAATAAACACAAATGACCTCTACATAAAGATGTATAATGAGAAAAGAAAGCAGCTGTGCAAGGTTCTTTAGACAGCTTTATTATTCAAAGGCCTAAACCACCAACTTCAGCTACACCATCAAAATCAGCATCGTAAGCAGCTTCAACATCAACTTCAGGTTCAGTAACAGTTTCAGCAACAGCTTTATGGAAAGCTACAGCTTCAGCCAGAGTTGAACCTGATGACTTCGTCATCTGAGTAAAAACTCGCACACTATTCATTGGCTGTCCTTATGTTTTAGACTTTACCGCCATTGGTGAATAGAATTTTAGTTTTACATTCGTAAATATTATCTAAAACATATATGAACAGTAAATAATTGTTGCTTTCATATTCATATGTTGAGAAATGACGATATGGTTTCACATGTACGCACTTACTGTTCATACGTTGGCGTTCCCAATCGTCTCACCTTATTTCTTTACCATTAGTGGTTAGCTACTTCTAGTGTTCCATTTATTAACATTAAATAACATTACTTAAAACATACATACAGGTATTAAATTTTTTTAAATTAAGTTCACTATAGCTATAACCAGGGTCTTATTTTCTTCAGTTTCTTGTGTAGAACCATCGTCACACAAAAACAATGCAGCCTTGTCTCATTGTGTGTTTTAATATTCTACGTATTATTAATGAATTGCATTGTTCATTTCAGATATATAAACATTAATTCAATCAAATACAGCTCCTCCCCGACTTACGACCTACTCAACTTACGACCTGCTTCAGTCGTACCAAAATTTTGTCAAATTGCGTATTTTCGAGTCCCAATGTCAGTGATTGCACTGTGTACTGACAAAATTTTTTTTGTAATTCTCTTTAAAATGGCTGGCAAGCTTAAAAGTGAGAGTTTTGTGGTGCTGAGAAGAAAAAGTGACACCCATTTTAGATTTTCTATGTATTATTTAAGCATTTTCGACTTACGACCTGGATTTGGGTCCCAAACCTCGTCGTAAGTCGGGGAGGAGCTGTATTCAGTAATAAACAATAATGAAGCTTTTGTACATATTCTTAAGATAAATGACGCAGTATCCTTAAATGCGCACATATATGTTGGCGTTCCCAATCCATCTCTTTTTTTTCATTAGTGGTTAGCTACTTCAATTGTTCCATTTATTAACATTAAATAACATTACTTAAAACATATATACTACTTTTTTTAAATTAAATTTACTACAGCTACAACCAGGGTCTTATTTTCTTCATTTTCTCGTGTAGAACTATCGTCCCGGACTCCTGGCTGTAAACACAAACGAAAACAATGGCGTCCCATCCCCTCTTGTGTGACCATATTATTATTCATTTATATTGTATAAGGTGCACTCAGAAGCATTATTTAAAGAATAAAGTTTGCACTTTTCATTAATTGTATTATTTTGGGGGGAAAAGAGGGTAAAAATCCTCACAAAAGATATGAAAAGGTCACACTTGGGAACGCATCTCATTATTATTGCTTTATTTTAATGGTAATTACCGATATTTTGCGGCATAGAAGACGCTGCATCGTGGAAGACGCACCCTGAGTTTGGAAATGTAATTCTAGGAAAAAAATTTTTATACTTATTAACCGACACCAGTGAAACCAATGCTTGATATACAGCCCATTTGGCACAAATACACACACCTCTTTGAATATCATCACCTAGAACTGCTTATCAGTCGTCATTTTCATCAATTTTTAATAACAAATCTGTGTAAGAAGGTATAAGTAGGAGGTGGTCCGAAGTTTCTCTCTGTTGCCCTGTTTCCATGTGAAGGCCTGGTAGTGAATGAACAAAGTTCTAGACACTCAAGTGTGAAGAAGCAAAAATTCCTGCGCTTTGAGACCAGCAGACAACTTTTTGCAATTCCTCAATAGATGGCGCTGCTGCAGCAAGGGTTGTGTAGCTGCAGCCGTTTATTTTATTTTTTACCAACTGAGTAAGTAAATAATCGTATTTTTTGCAGTATATCAACAATATTAGTTAAATCAATTGTTTTATAGTAAAGAGAATACAGTATAGTACTTGTAATTGCTAAGTAATGAGGTAACAGGGGCTGATTTCAGTTGACCCAAAGAAAACCTCTGCTACAACCCATCAACTAGCATCGTGGAAGACGCATGGTGATTTTCAAGGTATATTTTTGTAATAAAAAGCACGTCTTCTATGCCGCAAAATACAGTAATGATTCACGATAAGACGATTCACCTAACACTGCAATATTGGAGGACACATTAACGTCGTTATTCGAGGCTTTACTGTATGTATGTATATGTGTATACTATATATATATATATATATATATATATATATATATATATATATATATATATATATATATATATATATATATATATATATATATATATATATATATATATATATATATATATATATATAATCATTTACTTAATTCCATATACTGTAAACTGTAACCAATTCTTATCACTATATCATCAAGCACTCTCTAAAACTATATATAAAATAATTATGGACTTCAAATAAAATACTATTAGTCTTATTCTTTACAATAATGTTTAACAAGTGCCACAGCAAACTACCAAACAATCTAATTACAAATAATTTAACAAAAAATAAATTAATAAAACTCAACTACTGTACAACCATCAACTACGCTATTACGTTTTGGGAAAGACTCCACCAAAATGTATTAATAATTTAGAAACAAAATATTAGTGTTCCAATAGCATAACATAACCATAAATATATCAATAATAATACCCAGCAAGAACACTGCATGTAAGAGTTTAGTAATCTATATGGATGGAACATTTAGGTACCTATGCTATGGGGTATATAGTACAGGCAACAACAGGCACAAACTGAACCTTGTCTCTCCCTCAGTAAGGCCGGGCATGAGTCGTGCCTCGTGTGGACACTGGCAACGAGTCACCCCGTATCAGAGATGGACAGGGCCATTTTATCCAACAACAGGCAAAGAGCAAGGTGTGGCCCACGTGTAGCAAAACAGGCCGTTAAATGCCCTTAAAAGGAGGGATGAAACATAACACTGCAAGCAAAGGGCATGACTGACTCTAACAAGGGCAGGGCAGGGCAGGGGGAGGGAGGGAGGACATTTTCCTGACCTAAAGAATGCAGCACTTGGGTTTTTTCCTCTTGCCAGGATCTTTACCCTTGCCATTGGTGTTCTTATTGTCTTCCAATTTGCGAGAGCGAATCTCACGCATCAAATCAAAGAAAACCTGTTGGGTGTAGGAGATTAAAAATGTTAGACATGACACACACACACACACCACAAGATGATATCCTCTCAAGCTGAACTCTTTGATCCATTTCTTGTATGAACCTGAGAGAGTGACAGACAGAGGCAGGAGAATAAGAAAGGCAAAGGAGAAGAGAAGAGATAGATACATCATATGAACCTGAGAGAAAGAGAAGAGTAGAGAAAAGAAGAGTCTTAATCATAAACATTATATATATATATATATATATATATATATATATATATATATATATATATATATATATATATATATATATATATATATATATATATATATATATATATATATATATATATATATATATATATATATATAACACTTCGTAAATAAATAACACCTATGGCTGTAAACAAATCTCTTTACGTCTCCACTTCAAACAAAATCGTGTAAACAACAATGGCACACAAAAAAAATCAAGCACTCATTTGACTCCTCACATAAAAACACCAAACTGTAGTGCATTATAAGGAAAACTAAGAGATGTGATCAATGCTTCATATTATCTTTAAAAAATACTTATAAAAAGACACTAGATAAAACACTTGAATATTTTTTTATTTCTCATAAGTCCTCAAACTCTCTAAAAGAAAGTTGCAAAAGGTACGACTGCAAAAAAACTATATTAACCTCTCACCAAACATCATTCATAACATATCACTTTGATTTCACTGCTTATACACCAACCTTTAAATTTCCTGACTGAAGTCCTCAATATTTGCAATGTTTTTAAATCAATTCACATTTATCGACTGTACTTTAGGAAAGGTTTCGCATACAGAATCTTCCCCGAAAAGCTCGAGTTAACAAAACATTCCGGTCACCTCGAAGAAATAAAAAACCCAAGAGAAGCGTTTGGTACATTTACATCTTGGTTTTGTTATCACATTAGTTAGATCAGTTGCCTTCTGCTTGCATCATAAAATAATTATAATGAGAGGAATTCCCATCAGCTGAGTAACATAGAGAGACAGAGGGAGGAATAAGAGGTACAATCACAAAGAAACATCTACAACTGCAGTCTGAGATCTGTAAGCATCACCCACTTTGACACTGAGCTGTGAACGTGACCTTTTACCAAATGCAGCCAGAATTTAACTACTGCCTCCCATATAGTTATCCAGTGAGCCTGTAAATTTATATTGAAGTTAGTCCATTTTTTTTTTATATCTGGGTGAAGTAGATGAATCCAGAGAGAACAAAACAGTGTCATAGGCCATGCTCTGAAATCATGTCAAAACTCTCCCCTATGTCTAGTATATATGGAAAATGATGATTATTAAATTTAGCTCGGGTATTAATACACTGTAATATTGTCTCAAAGTTTTTCTGCCATTAAAACCATTAGGAAGTTATTGACTGAACACTTCACTTGTCAATATCAAATCTCATGTCTAAAGGTGATCATTAAACTCTACCTAGATATGAAAAATACCTAAATAAAGCTCTAAATTCACCCATCTGTCTTTTCTTAGGTTTCTAGTGAGAAACTCAATCTGCAATTGCCAAAACTTACAAGCAGAACAGAGGCCGTAAGTGTAATAAATAAAAACAGAAATGGTGACAAGTGAACACAAAGAGAGATGGTTGTGTCAGGAAGATGTTTAACACATTTCAACTTGATCCATTTAGTTACTGAATTGGATTGGGTATATTACAGAGGGATTGGGGAGGAGGGGAACAGGTCTTCAAGAGGGTTTTCTCTAAGGTGTAATGGGTTCTGTCTGCAGCTGAAGTATTGAAGAGAGACTGAGGGAGTGAATGAGTTAAATTTAGCCTCCTACAAGATGCCTTCCAATGACATACTATTCAATAGATTGGTAATGGATTGTCCAGTGATGAAACATCTGCTTACCACCCTCACTGCATACAACTTTACTATGAGGATTCGAACACCCAACAGTCTAGACACGAACACACCCAAAGATGTTGAAGAGTGTTTTAGGGAAGACTCTGCATGTGATGTCTTACTCTCGATGTGGTTAAGATAAACAAGGAGTAAACATTAAATGGCAGTCACAATCCTGGGGTGTAGAGAAGCACGATGTTGAAGTGTGATTACATTAAGAGCCGTCGATCAGGGAAATGGAGATGATGACGGGAAGAATTATGAGGATACCTGAATATTAGCTCTCTCTCTCTCTCTCTCACCTGATGATCACTCCCTAACACTAGCTATAGATGTTATATGAGATAAAATACAACAGAGAGCTCAGTAACAAGTCAAGATTGAAACAGTGCTGTAGTAAAGCCCTTGAATGGCCCCCATGACAATATCAGGGTCGTTAAACTTTAGGATGGTTAAGCAGGGGGTGCAAGACTTCAGGTGCACACTAGGGGGCTAATCTTCAGGTGAGCACTAGGGGTTAAACCTCAGGAGAGCACTCGGGGGCTAATTCAGAAAAGCACTAGGGGGCTAATCTTCAGGTGAGCACTAGGGGGCTAATCTTCAGGTGAGCACTAAGAGCTAATATTCAGGAGAGCACTAGGGGACTAAACTTCTATAAAGCTAAACTACCGAATGGTCTCGTTTAAGGTCTCGACTACACCACCAAGAGCAAGATGTTTACATGGTCGAAATTATTGAATTGAATTTGTAAAAGAGGGTCAAGAGGGTCCTTAGTGCTGGGGATCATAAAGCGTTGAAAAAAAAAAACAATATTTCGATGGAACAATAATTGAAGGGAGTAAAAAGGAGGATTATTAAGCCCTAATTGGAAGAACTGGACATATTTCAATCAGTGTATTATTTCTCTGTCTGTAATTATGTTTTTACAGCAGATGTAGAGCAAGTTGGGTAAATATTTGGCCAGTTGTCTTGTTTGTCCATTAAATAATACCCCAGAATTTTAAGCCTATGATTTTGAACTTTTACATGAGGACATATTACCTCTCAAATAATACCTGTACTGCATAACCTTCTGAAATGCCAAGTTGTCTGAGTCTCAAATGTGGACATCTGTGCCTGAACCAAAACTCACTTGTTTGGTTAGGTGATGTTTGGGTGAGGTATTGTTCTACCACCATTCCCCTCTTGTCTAGAAATTAATAAGGCAAATGTAATCCTTCACACTTCAATATCTGTCTTTGATATACTGTATAACAAAGTTGTATTGCATATTGAGCATTTAGTAATAAAAGAGTGATCTGATGAAACAACTGTACCTTGAATGCAAATTAAAAAAATATATACCTGTATATCAAAATTCTGGTGAATTTCTATGCTGCACAAAAACAACTTCTAAATTGCCTACATAAGCTTACACATAAATTTACCACCATCTTTTGTACAAACTTAAATGCATGGCCACACTGTAAGCTCTGAAAAAATTGCAATCTACCATTTTATACATCTATTTATTATACAAGTCAAAGCTGTGGATGTAACGCTGAACAAGACGAGGCAATTTTATGATGCGATCGTGCATGCTTGAGTCAACACAGGCCTGCGACAGTAACAGCCCTTAGGATATTCGTGCAGTTCTGAGTAAGACACACAGGGTTTTATTACAAGGTTCAGGGAGTAAAACCAACCATAACCCTGTTTTTATAACTCTGTCAAAGCCTTTTCCCACTACAGTATAACCTCCATCTAACTGACCACTGTGTGGGAGAGGGTGGTCCAGTAGCTTCCATTATATCTGTTACTCTTGAGTGAAATATGTCAAGTTTTTCTTCCATTAATAAACCAGAAGAAATAAAATTCCTTTAAAACGAAGAAAATTTGTGTAAAAATAAACTCCAGAACACAGTTCACTGGAGCAGTGATGATTCACAATGTATGATACAAATTCAGTCATAAATTCACAGGTACAGTACCTCTATTACTGCCTGACTGCCGCAGTGTTTATCTACAGTAAGATCTCATATCTCGCGCGATTTCTTTTCACGTTTTTTAATTTCGCGAGCACTACCTAATGAAACCAAGTCTTAAGTTTGGCGTAAAATATCATGAGTTTCGCGAGATCCAGCCAGCTGAACGCAAGATCCAGCCAGCTGAACGCAAGATCCAGCCAGCTGAACGCAAGATCCAGCCAGCTGAATGCAAGATCCAGCCAGCTGAACTCGAGATCCAGCCAGCTGAACTCGAGATCCAGCCAGCTGAACTCGAGATCCAGCCAGCTGAATGCTGGCCACCATCTTGAATGACGCCAAAGCCCTCATACCAGTTACAGTCATTTCTGCTACAACGCGTGTTTTGTCAACGTGAATTGGTTGTAACGCGATTGATGAATAGGGGAGAGCTGTTTGTAAAACGCGAACTTTTGCATGCGAATGTTGGCTATAGCGCGATTCCATCCTCAACGTTTTAAGCGTGGCGTGGGGTTATGCAATGTTTACAGTTCATGTTCGACATCACATGTTCAATTGATTTGTGTCTTTAGTTTGTGAAGTGTATTTTGAGAGGTACTCTGTAATTGTTTTTTTATTTTTTTATGCAAATTTAGTTGTTACCCATAAATATGTACAAAAATAATAAGTAAAAAGAATGTTTCACAGTGAGGACTAATAATGGTTTACACCAACGCTCTCTGTTTCCATCACGTGATCAGTTGAATAGCGCGGTTTCTATCAATTACCCCGTGATTTTTGCTGTTTTCCCCCATGAATATGGAAAGACAGGGTAAGAAAAATGTTTCTAAGAAGCGTTCTGGTGATTGAATTGCCAGTGGTGAACGTGAAAGAGGTTTACAAGAATACGACTATCGCGTTGTAGCCCGCGCCATCGTAGCGACCGCCGGGGCTGTTATTGTGTGATTTTTTGGGTGGTGCCACCTGTCTAGTCAAGATAATGGCCTCTACCTCTACTGGGGGTCCTACTGGTGCTGGTGGGGGTGGAACAGACCCTCCTAAGTGGCCAAATAAGGAAAAGGAAAAGTGGGACTATCATAAGGGAGTTAAGTTTGCCAAGTACTCGATGCAGGATAAGCAGCGTGTGATTAAGTTACTTGAGGAGAGCATAAAAACTAGTTTCTGGAAAGCACGATCAGGTCAATAAAGGCAGAATATTTGTGGAGGGGTTTGCTACTTCAAATAATTTGCTCTTACTCACTGATAATAAAAAAATAAATCAGAATTAATTAAACAAGTAAAATAAGAAGAGGGGAGGAGACACATTTGGAGGTTATAAATGGGAAAATCAGAGGTTGATGTAGAGTGGCCAGTCAATATTGTTATTTTTCCCATTAGTTTATGTATTTGCCTTTGGAGAATTTTTCCAGTCTATATTACTCGCGAAATACAAGATCTTACTGTACATAAGAAACTATAAAATTTGTGGAAATATCATCATTTCAATGTTGTAATGTGACTTAAAAATAAGGAAAATATAATATAAAACTATCAAAAAATGCAGAGTAGAAAGAGAATTCTGTGTTAGAGGTGGAAGGTAAGGCTGATAGGTGGAGACAGCTCCCTCCCTCGCTTCATCACCCCTGTAACACATCAGTGTGAGGAAGAAAGGAGCTCTTTATATAATATACATCTACTTTTTGTACACTATCTGTGTTACTCTATTTTTTTATGTATCATGCACAATGTTTAGAGTTTATTAAAGCAGTTTTGAAACATTTTTTGCATATTTTTTGGCCCCGAGAACCAAACTAATTATTTCTATTTAAATCAATTGAACTAAAATTTGTGTTCTGATAATTCATGATTTTTTCTGGCACCCGAACTATGAATTATCGTGACTTCGCTGTATTTTAATATTTGTCTTAAAATTTAGGTATATTTACTAGTGTGTTGTCAAGGTGATATTCAATATTAACCATAGCAAAAAGTTCAGGTAATCAGTTCTCAAATGGCCATCTAGGAAACTTTCCCCTAAACTACAACAGATTATTAGTGTAGGAAGGACTTCTTGCATGTATTAACCCTTAAAAGCAGCTCAAGTTTCCCTAATCTGGCTGCCATGTGTACAGAAAATGGAACAGGAAGCAGCCACTGATGATGGCCACTGACCCTGATGATGGCTGCTATTTAAGAGTTAAGATACATTAATTTTTGAAGCGTATAAATACAGTAGAGGATGAGGCCAATATGTACCAGTGAGTGTTAAACCAAGAGGTGAGAGTTGTGGTGTTGTCAGTAGAGGATGAGGCCAATATGTACCAGTGAGTGTTAAACCAAGAGGTGAGAGTTGTGGTGTTGTCAGTAGAGGATGAGGCCAATATGTACCAGTGAGTGTTAAACCAAGAGGTGAGAGTTGTGGTGTTGTCAGTAGAGGATGAGGCCAATATGTACCAGTGAGTGTTAAACCAAGAGGTGAGAGTTGTGGTGTTGTCAGTAGAGGATGAGGCCAATATGTACCAGTGAGTGTTAAACCAAGAGGTGAGAGTTGTGGTGTTGTCAGTAGAGGATGAGGCCAATATGTACCAGTGAGTGTTAAACCAAGAGGTGAGAGTTGTGGTGTTGTCAGTAGAGGATGAGGCCAATATGTACCAGTGAGTGTTAAACCAAGAGGTGAGAGTTGTGGTGTTGTCAGTAGAGGATGAGGCCAATATGTACCAGTGAGTGTTAAACCAAGAGGTGAGAGTTGTGGTGTTGTCAGTAGAGGATGAGGCCAATATGTACCAGTGAGTGTTAAACCAAGAGGTGAGAGTTGTGGTGTTGTCAGTAGAGGATGAGGCCAATATGTACCAGTGAGTGTTAAACCAAGAGGTGAGAGTTGTGGTGTTGTCAGTAGAGGATGAGGCCAATATGTACCAGTGAGTGTTAAACCAAGAGGTGAGAGTTGTGGTGTTGTCAGTAGAGGATGAGGCCAATATGTAGCAGTGAGTGTTAAACCAAGAGGTGAGAGTTGTGGTGTTGTCAGTACAGTATATTGTTCACTGCCAGATGGTGGACTATAATTTGGGGGGAAACTGGCACATTTCTATATCACTTAGTTTTATCTATGCCTTCTAAAAATAATGAATAATAAAAGTATATTTCTTTTTCTATGCTAATTTGAATTTTAATATGAATAAAAAAGTTTAACCCATTGTAAGGTGTAGTTTTGTAAAAAAAAAAAAATTCACATTAATTTACAAAATATGTTGTTTATTAATTTTTCTAGAAGAACTAAATACTCTACAAATTATTTTCTTCTATTCAACTCTCTTTTATTCTATTTACTTTCATATTTTCTCTCATTGTGGTAGTGAATGTTTCCCAAGACCATTAACAGATCACCTCACAACATCTGGGTGGCTAACACACACCAATACTTTCACTTACATTACCTAATAATTCTAAATATTTGTGGAGGGGTTTGCTACTTCTAATAATTTGCTCTTACTCACTGATAATAAAAAAATAAATCAGAATTAATTAAACAAGTAAAATAAGAAGAGGGGAGGAGACACAGACGAACTCTCTCTTCATCAACCACAAGCAGAGTGCAGCAACAGCCTCAGGTTCATAGTACAAGGAGTTTATACCATGATCAAAAGTTCCCATTATTCTGGCATACCAACACCTAGTGTAAAAAAATAACTATCTGCTATAATGTAAAGCTGGGGGAATAGGTTATGGAAGGCGGAGGATTATTGTTTATCCACGAGAGGACGCACGTTACCTTGTCCACGTTAGCTCTTGTCTTGGCCGAGGTCTCCACGTAAGGTACGCCCCATTGTCCCGCACGGTTCTTGGCTTCTTCCTCTGAGACTTTCCTGCGCTCCGTTAGATCAGCTTTGTTGCCCACTAACAAGAATGGGATGTGTTCGTCGTTCTTCACTCGGAGAATTTGTTCCCTAAAAAAATAAGATATATATTAATTTCATACATACTCAAGGGGTTGTTAATATAGAGTAAATGCTGATTTAAAATACACAATAAAAATAAGCAAAGTAAAGAATAAACATATAACAAATGGTTGGTGATAACTTCTTGTACATCATACATAATAAGTGAAAAAACTGTCAATGTCTTTTGGATAATTAACATTTGACTTCCATTACAAAAATACAGAAAATATTTTTATACACCAACCTAATACACTACAACATAATGGGTGAAGTAAAATAGCTCTACTCTTGGTTGGTTGGTTAAGTTAGGGTTGAAAGAATGCTCAGTGGAATTTGAGGTCAAGCTGCAATACTCTTGATCAGATACCTGGATGGCTGAAATAGTTCTCTTCTGTGTGTGTGTGTGTGTGTGTGTGTGTGTGTGTGTGTGTGTGTGTGTGTGTGTGTGTGTGTTGCCTAACTGACTGCCAGATGTATGTATGTATGTATGTTGCCTAATTGACTGCCAGATGTATGTATGTATGTATGTCTGTATGTATGTATGTATGTCTCCTAAATGACCACAAGACAAAATTTTTCCTGGGACTAAAGTTTGCACTCACCACAACCTGCCCAATACCCAAACCACAGACCACTAAGGCACCTCAGCAACCAATATTCACTCACACCTCTCAGGGTAACTTTCAACATTCCTAACCTTAAGTCATGATGGACCAGGGAGATATCTTACCGGAATTCTTGAGTGGCCTGGAATGAGTCGTCTTCAGTGATGGAGAAGACGCACAAGAAGCCCTCCCCAGATCTGTAAATAACACGTGATGGTAATATAAATTATCACAAGTAAAAAACTAAAAGAGAGAGAGAGAGAGAGAGAGAAAAATAATTCATAATGTCTCTAATAATACCAAAAATATGTGGAACACAGTTCACTAGACCAATATTCTCATTAAATAAACTAATACAGGAAATACAAGAGGTGAAATAGCGGCAGTAAGAGTGATGCATGATACATGAACCAAGCATAAAGTAAACCAAACACTTCAACTAACACAAGTGATGATTTAGTCCAGCGAGTTTTATTCTTGACACACGCACGCACGCGCACACACACACACACACACACACACACTTCATCCTTGACCACCGACGGGTCAAGACGGGTCAGACGCACCTGGCGCTGCTCAGCATCAGCAACGTCAACTGTTAAGTTGGCCCATACCAACTCCCTCCCCTGAACCCTCCTCCCCACCGGATTATCAACAAGTTCTCGCCAGAAGTTACTATTTCATTTGGGAAAGGAATGGAACCAGTGTTGAATAGTGGTGAACAGTGCTTAAGTCAGTGAAAAACAACTCGGCAGTTGAGTCTTACCCAAGCTAACCTTCACACAGTGAGGTCCCAGGTACCCAGTGGTAGTTCCCCTGAGACTCCACGATAGAGAAGCCTGGGACCACACCTCACCCACTTGAGTGAGTGAAGTCCTGTGACAACTGACCACGTGGTGTCCCCATGATGCTACGACACCAAGTAGTGAATGAGTTGCTACAGCATCATGTGAAGTTCCTCATAACACCATCTGTGAGGGAATTATTACACCACGTGATGCCCCTCATAACACCATCTGTGAGGGAATGACTACACCACGTGATGCCCCTCATAACACCATCCGAGGGAATTACTATGCCATGTGATGCCCCTCATAACACCATCTGTGAGGGAATTACTACGCCATGTGATGCCCCTCATAACACCATCTGTGAGGGAATTACTCATATGTAGTGCCCCTCATACACCATCTCTGCGGGAATTACTACACCACATCAGGCCCCTCATACACCATCTGTGAGGGAATTACTACACCACATCAGGCCCCTCATAACACCATCTGTGAGGGAATTACTACATCATCAGGCCCCTCATACACCATCTGTGAAGTAACTACTACATCATCAGGCCCCTCTTAACACCATCTGTGAGGGAATTACTACACCACGTCAAGCCCCTCACAACACCACCTGTGAGGGAATTAGTACTCCACGTGATGCCCCTCATAACGCCATCTGTGAGGGAGTTACTACACTACGTGTCTGCTGTTCAACACCTCAGCTCACATGATCTACATGTGTAAACATTAATCTGTATGTTCACTGTATGTTCCTTCACCTTTCTCTAATGAAGGCTTTTGTTAAACCACCAATGCATGTAATAAGTCATTTGTGTCCAATGTATATTTTCAGCCTTCGGGCTACAAATTTTTCAATAAACCGTTTATTATTATTATTATTATTATTACACACACACACACACTTTACAATATTGACATTTTATTTTCACCCACTTACAAAATTTAATTAAAAAAAAAAGGGTTTGAGAGGAATTGAACTTGATAAATACCTGTAGTACATAAATGCCTCCCATTACCAAACTAATTCTTGCAAGACCTATCCCTTATTGAGAGGATTATGTTACTGAGAAGTTCATTATTAAGAGTTTACTGATAATGGCTGACCTTACCTGAAATAGTTGTCTCTGATGGCAGCGTAGTCTTCCTGACCTGCCGTGTCGAGGATGTCTATCTGCACCTCCTCACCGTCCAGCACCACCTTCTTGCGGTAGCTGTCAGCTTTGGTGGGTTCATAGTCCTCCACAAACTGTACAGAAAAGAAGGAAAATAAAGATACTGCAGATTGGCTTTTGGAGTACAATAGACAGTATACATTATAGAGGAGTGACAGTGGGTCCTTTTGGCATGACTGCCCGTTAGGGACGGTGTGGATACAGCACACTGTATACTAAGCCTTCAGTACACAAGGAGGCAACATGGCGGTACTGCCCTCCACCGCCTTCACTTAGGTACCCATTTACAGCTGGGTGAGCTGGGAGTGCCAGGAAGTGAACCATCGACCCCTGGAGCAGATGGTGAGCCTTGTATCCACTCAACCACTACATTCCATAAAAGAATAAAAAATCCTTAAAATTAAAAATTACAGTAATATTAATTAAGGTATATTAGTACTGTACTGTTTACTGATGCTGGGACTACACAATAGTTACTATTTGAACAAAAGCGTCTACTTCCTCTGCTAGATCACTATCAGGTGGGACAAACAATAGGCGTCTAGGAAACAAGTTAGAAAAACCAGAATAATGGAAATGAAGGATTCAGAGATAATAAAATAGGAATAGGTGGAAGAATAGGAGAGTCTAAGTTATGCCAATTGCTGAGAAGGTTGTGTGTGTGTGTGTGTGTGTGTGTGTGTGTGTGTGTGTGTGTGTGTGTGTGTGTGTGTGTGTGTGTGTGTGTGTGTGTGTGTGTCTAGTGCACATGGAAATACGAATGTTGTTTTAACTACAACATCAACAGGTAGGAGAGAGAGAGAGAGAGAGAGAGAGAGACGACTGGGTGTGTATATTGTCACATCCTCTTTCATACAACACACTGCTTGAATCTATTTATATTAACAAAAGCATTTCCATATCTTAAGAACTAACAACCAAATAGACCAACACACTAGTAGAGTACACAGGTGACAACAAGTGTATTAGACAATGACAAATTAATTAAAACTAATATTCACACCTTCATAGTGCCTCCCCCCCCCTCCCCCACTTCACCATCTCTTCCTCTGTCTATTCATCTGTCTGTCTGTCTGTCTGTTCCTGTATTTCTCCGTGTTTCTGTCTCTCACGATAATAATACATATTCTTTATGTCATATACTGTATGTAATTTCCAACACAGTACAACAAAACACATTCTTAGAGTAACATAACTAGAGCACAATGTAAGAGTAATCAGCGTTAACTATATGCGGTTTTGTCTAATTATGACACACACACAGAATACTGGTACTAGCGTCACAAGTCTCCTGAAGAATGTGTCAAGGGGTGGGAGAGTGACAGGCAGCCAGCAGAACACACCCCACAGGTGCAAGGCCAGTAGAACACACCCCACAGGCAGCCAGCAGAACACACACCCCACAGGCAGCCAGTAGAACACACCCCACAGGCAGCCAGGTGAACACACCCCACAGGCAGCCAGTAGAACACACCCCACAGGCAGCCAGCAGAACACACACCCCTACAGGCAGCCAGTAGAACACACTCCCCACAGGCAGCCAGTAGAACACACACCCCCACAGGCAGCCAGCAGAACACACCCCCACAGGCAGCCAGTAGAACACACCCCACAGGCAGCCAGTAGAACACATTCCCCCACAGGCAGCCAGCAGAACACACCCTCCCACAGGCAGCCAGCAGAATGGTTGTTCTGGCTGCGGGGCAGCCAGTAGAACACACCCCACACAGGCAGCCAGCAGAACACACCCCACAGGCAGCCAGTGCAGAACACACCCCACAGGCAGCCAGCAGAACACACACCCCACAGGCAGCCAGCAGGAACACACACCCCACAGGCAGCCAGCAGAACACACCCCACAGGCAGCCAGCAGAACACACCCCACAGGCAGCCAGTAGAACACACCCCTGGGCCAAGGGCAACCAGCAGAACACACCCCACAGGCAGCCAGCAGAACACACCCCACAGGCAACCAGCAGAACACACCCCACAGGCAGCCAGCAGAACACACACCCCCACAGGCAGCCAGCAGAACACACCCCACAGGCAAACCAGTAGAACACACACCCCACAGGCAGCCAGTAGAACACACCCCACAGGCAGCCAGCAGAACACACCACCCCCCACAGGCAGCCAGTAGAACACACCACAGGCAGCCAGTAGAACACACCCCACAGGCAGCCAGCAGAACACACCCCACAGGCAGCCAAAGTAGAACACACCCCACAGGGCAGCCAGAACATACCCCACAGGCAGCCAGCAGCAACACACCCCACAGGCAGCCAGCAGAACACACCCCAGCCAGGCAGCCAGCAGAACACACCCCGCCAGGCAGCTAGCAGAACTGACACCCCACAGGCACAGCAGAACACACCCCCACAGGCAGCCAGCAGAACACACACCCCACAGGCAGCCAGCAGAACACACCCCACAGGCAACCAGAAGTGCAGAACACACCCCACAGGCAGCCAGCAGAACACACCCCACAGGCAACCAGCAGAACACACCCCACAGGCAGCCAGCAGAACACACCCCACAGGCAGCCAGCAGAACACACCCTGCTGGTGGCAACCAACAGAACACACCCCCACAGGCAGCCAGTGCAGAACACACCCCACAGGCAGCCAGCAGAACACACCCCACAGGCAGCCAGCAGAACACACCCCAGGCAGCCAGCAGAACACACCCCACAGGCAGCCAGCAGAACACACCCCCACAGGCAGCCAGGCAGAACACACCCCACAGGCAGCCAGCAGAACACACCCCCACAGGCAACCAACAGAACACACCCCTCACAGGCAGCTGTGCAGAACACACCCCACAGGCAGCCGTGCAGGAACACACCCCACAGGCAGCCAGCAGAACACACCCCACAGGCAGCCAGCAGAAACCACACCCCACAGGCAGCCAGCAGAACACACCCCACAGGCAGCCAGTAGAACACACCCCACAGGCAACCAGCAGAACACACCCCCACAGGCAGCCAGCAGAACACACACCCCACAGGCAACCAGCAGAACACACCCCACAGGCAGCCAGCAGAACAGGCTCCCCACAGGCAGCCAGCAGAACACACCCCACAGGCAACCAACAGAACACACCCCCACAGGCAGCCAGCAGAACACACCCCACAGGCAGCCAGCAGAACACACCCCCACAGGTGCACAGCAGAACACACCCCACAGGCAGCCAGTGCAGAACATTATTCCCCACAGGCAGCCAGCAGAACACACCCCACAGGCAGCCAGCAGAACACACCCCACAGGCAGCCAGTGAACACACCCCACAGGCAGCCAGTAGAACACACCCCACAGGCAACCAACAGAACACACCCTACAGGCAGCGCCGTAGAACACACCCACAGTGGCAACCAACAGAACACACCCCATGGCAGCCAGCAGAACACACCCCACAGGCAGCCAGCAGAATGAGCACTGACAGGCAGCCAGTAGAACACACCCCACAGGCAACCAACAGAACACACCCCCACAGTGCAGCCAGCAGAACAGCCACCCCACAGGCAGCCAGCAGGGCCACCCCACAGGGGCAGCCAGCAGAACACACCCCACAGGCAGCCAGCAGAACACACCCCATTGGCAGGCAACCAACAGAACACACCCCACAGGCAGCCAGCAGAACACACCCTACAGGCAGCCAGCAGAACACACCCCCCCACAGGCAGCCAGCAGAACACACCCCACAGGCAGCCAGCAGAACACACCCCACAGGCAGCCAGCAGAACACACCCCACAGGCAGCCAGCAGAACACACCCCACAGGCAGCCAGCAGAACACACCCCACAGGCAGCAGCCAGCAGAACACACCCCCACAGGCAGCCAGCAGAACACACCCAACAGGCAGCCAGCAGGAACACACCCCCACAGGCAGCCAGTGCGCAGAACACATCTCCCCACAGGCAGCCAGCAGAACACACCCCACAGGCAGCCAGCAGAACACACACCCCACAGGCAGCCAGCAGAAC